AGATAAATGCTGGTGGCTTAGCAATATGAGATGCAGAATGGTACCAACTACACACAGGACAATAGCACAGTGTCCCCCAGTGGAGCAGTGGGACTGGGAAATAGCCCAGTATGTTTTGTGGCAGGAGAAAGCAGGGGAAATGCAGAATTCATACTTATGTGTCCGTTTCTAGGAGGGCTTTTGCTGGAGAAAGCAGCCACTTTGGCTAAGGGATACGTTTAGACTTCTCAATGTCACATAGAAGCCAAACATGACACAGAAGCTACATGACAAGGATTGTCTAATGAGGATGAGATTTTCTATAAGAATAAAGGGTAAATGGGGACAATTTGGAATTCTTTTCTGAAATGGTTAGGTGGGGTTCTAGGCAGAGTGTAAGGGCCTCCAATTCCTATGTGGTTAATTAGTTTGTGGATGCTGTTCTCTTGGTGCCTGCCCAAGTGACCTCCCAAAGTTCCTTACTAAGAATTAAAGCAAGTATTTTTCTCTGTGTTGTCCAGTGAGCCAGCAAATATATAGTGTGTTTAGGCACAGCCTGGGAATGGGGATCAGTGAGTGTGGGGAATCCAGGAGGTGAGGAGAAACAAATGGGACCGTCCTGGAGACTCATTTCCTGTCCCCTTTCAGTAGCTCACCAGATCGCTAGCTCAGCAGGTACCAGCACGTAATGGAAAAATAGTCCCCTTTTCCAATGAGATAATTTCTTTCATCCAACAGCTTTCATGGTGGTGGTATAGATGTTCCTGCCTCACCTTCCCTATAAGCGTGATGCATTCCATGCAGGCTCCCTCTCCACAGGACCTGTAGCCATGGGACACATGGTCGAACTAAGTCTGGCCTAATCCCCTTCTATGGAAACGTGGGGATTGAGTAAATTGTTTAGTTCTTTTAAATTCTTTAAAAGATATTTTTAAAATGTGAGAAAGAAGGGAAAGAAAGAGAGAGAAACATCGATATGAGACCAAAACATGGATTGCGGGGATTGAGCCTGCAACCCAGGTGTGTGCCCTGACTAGGAATCCAACTGACAACCTTGTGGTGTACGGGAGAACATACAAGCCACAGAGCCACTCTGGCCAGGGCTCTGTTATTCTGATTGGAAGTTTCCCCCCAAACAACCAAACACTATATTGACATATGTGTTCTCTTTACATGCTGGGTTCAAGGAATTTTGTGCCCACAAAAATCTATAGGTTGTTAGCATGGCTGATATTATACGGAGCAAGACTTGGAGCCTGGAATCAAGTCCACAACCATTACAAGGGCATCATTTGTTAATATATAAACAAGCTCAAAGGGTCTCAAGTCTGTCTCACTGAACCCCTGTATCACAGTGTATTGGGCGTTAATTCCTCCTCATATGAATCTGTCTGTATCTTCATATGGATTTGCATGTATATACATAGACTCTGGAAATATACACAAAGACTGGTGATGTTAGGTGTTTTGGGTGAAGAAATTGGATGGCTGTTGGACAGAAGTGGAAGTACTTCTGTACTTTTTGCATTTTTCTTATTTAAAAAATTGTGGTAAAATGCCCATACCATAAAATTGACCATTTTAACCCTTTTAAAAAACTATATTTTTATTGATTTCAGAGAGGAATGGAGAGGGAGAGATAGAAACATCAGTGAAGAGAGAATCAGTGATCAGCTGCCTCCTGTACACACCCTAGAGGGGACTGAGCCCACAATTCAGGCTTGTGCCCTGACTGGGGAACTGTGACCTCCTGATTCATAGACTTTCAACCACTGAGCCACACTGACCGAGCCAATCTTAACAATTTTATAGTTTACAGGTCTTTGACATTAAGTACATTCACAGTGTTATGCAGTGATCACCACCATCCGTCTCCAGAACATTTTCATCTTGCGAAACCGAAACTCTACCCATGCCTGCTCTCCAGCCCCTGGCAACCACCACTCTCCTTTCTAGTCCTGTGAATTCGACCACTCTGACACCTTATACAAATGGGATCATATGGTATTTGCCTTGTTGTCTTTGACTTCCCACAATTGGTTCTGACAGTTTTATCTCCCACATAAGTCAAGGCAGATAGATATTCCCCCTTTACCCAGTGGTCTTGTTATAACATCTATCACAATGCATAGGTCACCTTCTAAAAACCTTTCAATGCATCTCACTGCAGACTTTATCCAAGTGTCTATGCGCCTTTCATAATCTGGCTGCTGGCTTCCTCTTGTACCTGGTCCGCTCCACTCTGCACCTCACCCCATTGAACATTTCAGTTTTCCAGCCAAGAGAAGCGCCTTCGGCTCCTCTACTGCCCCAGGCACTCCCCCACCGCAGCACCTTTGCACTTGCTGGGCACTATGCCTGTCCTGCTCTCCGTGGCTGGTGCCTCTCAGATGTCATCTTCTTGGAGACCCTTCCCTCCCACACGTCCAGTAAGCCCTCCAGTCACTCCAGTCACCACCCGCCCGCCTCAGCTCACTCTGCCTGTCATGACTTTCACCTAATTTATAACCCACGGTTACCTTGTCGGTGTGTATCACCCGACTTCTGTATGGCTCTGCTCTGCAGCGGGGGTGGGGCTGGGGTGGGAGTAGGCGGGTGGTGGGAGCGCTGAGGGGACCCGCGCCGGGATGACCCCGCGCGGACTAGCACGGCCAAAGGATTACATCTTTGGTGGTCATTTCTCAGAGTCAGGAAGTGGAAACATTTCTAAAAATTCAGCAGTTAGTGCTAACTACCTAGCACTCCACAGTCTGTTTTGGGAAGAATGAACCTGCAGGCAAAGAACCCCGGAGTGGGCGGGGCCAAGGAGAGGTCAGGTGCCGAGCTGGCCCCGCCCCTCGCACAGCCTGGCGCAGGCGCAGTGCCGCTGGCCACTCCAGGGTCTGCGCGGAACCCTTAAAGGTGGAACGCGGGAGTCGGTGCCCTTTGCGAATCCGACCGACAGTAAGAAAACCATGGCGGTTTGGGAGCTGAGCCCATGGTGGAGGGAGTATGGAGACACGGCTTCCGGGCGACGGGGCGCCCCGGAGTCCAGCCTCGGCACCTCAGCCGCCTCAGGTCCTCTGAGCGGGGCCCTTGCTCGCAGGCACTGATTTTTGAGAGAGAACTCTCCACAGCAGCACAGGTGGCCTCCTCAGGCTTCTGGAATGTTAGGATTTCAGACAAAACTGGTTCAGGAAAGGACCCCTCGGCAGGTGCCTTGGGGAAGAGGCGGGAAGGGGCGGCTTTGTTTTCCGGGCTGACATTTCACTTAAATGTCCGGGGACCACCCACAGCGTCCTCGGGGTGCTCCCAGCCTGGCCTTCCTGGCTGCAGGGCCGCCCGGCTCCCGTGCCTTCATGGAGGGTCATGCTCTTCAGCCAGGGATGCCCACGGAGCCCAAGGCCTGAGACCAGAGCAGCTTTCCCCGAAATCTCCAGTGAAGGGGCCCAGGTGCACACTCCCAGCTCCACCGCAGGAAGCACTGAACTCAGGGTAACAGGCTGGCATTTGCAGGGCTTACAGAACGCCTACGCATGCCTCGCTACACCCTTCCGCTGGATCCCATTTTATTGTGATTATTCTTGTTATTAGATAAAGAAACGTAAACTCAGGAGGGTGAAGGGACTTACTTAAGGTTCATGACAATACCGGTGGAAGCTCCAGGTCAAACCCAAACTTAATGATGTTAAAGCCCCATGTCATTTTATGCTGCCCCTTAATTTAAGAAATGTTCACAGGAAGAATCTTGCTTGCATTTACTATGATGTGGTTTTAAGATATGTGTGCTTGACAAAATTTCTCATGCATTATAACCCAAAGGATGCTTTATCATCACTCCCAAACTGCCTATTCAGAACTCCCTTCAGTTCCCAGAAAAAATGTTTAAACATTCTTTATTTTTATTTTTTAAAAATATATTTTATTGATTTTTCACAGAGAGGAAGGGAGAGAGATAGAGAGTTAGAAACATCGACCAGCTGCCTCCTGCACATCCCCCACTGGGGATGTCACCCCAACCCAGGCACATGCCCTTGACCGGAATCGAACCTGGGACCTTTCAGTCCGCAGGCCAACGCTCTATCCACTGAGCCAAACCGTATTTGGCTGTTGAAACATTCTTTAATGCATTGTAGAAACATTATTCCATTTAAGTGCTGTCCAATTTTACTTTCACAGAGCCCCAGAAGTATAGTTAATTACCAGGTATGTGCCTCAATTCAACCATCATTCTTTTTTCATGGACCATTTTATTATTATTAGCCATGACTTTTTAAAAAAATCTTTATTGTTAAAAGTATATCCTCGCTTTCCCCCCCATTGACCCCTTTCAGTCCTCCCCCGCCCCCCCACCCCAGGCCTTTACCACACTATTGTCTCTGTCCATGGGTTATGCATATATACATGCAAGTTCTTTGGTTGATGTCTTCCCACCTACCCAATCTCTCATGGACCATTTTAATTCCTCTGAATGAATGAGTGAGGCTTAGATTTCCAAAACTTTTCATGTTATAATTATGTCTTCATAAGCCTCTCTGATTGACTTCATAATCTGGCTTTTTACTGACCTTGCTGCCTATTCTTACCCATGTTCCTTTCCTCATTGTCTTCACCTTTACTGAATCTGAGAACTCTCCTCAGATGTGACTCAGGTTGACCACCTTCACTTGTGTGCCCTGCTCACCACCTTCTTCAATCCTGTTGCTGAAAAGATGATCAGCAGACATTAATTTTCAGACGCCAGTCTACCTCGTTCAAGCCTGTAGCCATTTCACACAGCCACTCAGATGTTACAGGTACTCGAAAGATCAGGAAACAGTTACTTGGTATCCATTGTAATACATTTCTTCCCCTCTCAATTGGACATTAAGACCTATTCATTGCATAAGCTTTAGGTTTTGAGATTTTCACAACATAAAGCCCATCACTGACAGAGTAATGAAGGAAATGTTCCACATGTTAATATATAGTTGAGAAAAGAGGGCATTGTAGATTTATTTTTTTTAATTCAGGGCCTTAATTATTAGTGATTATTTGTACCTTTATATTTTTGGGAAGTACACATGATTAAACTCTTTATAAATTCAGAAAATGAATAATGTCTTAAAATCAAGGACAGCCCTAAGGCATCAGAGAGATTGTTTTTTTTCAGTATCATGAAGGAAAATGGTTGCCAGCAAGCAGTGTGGCCAGGTTATCCAAGGAGACAACTGTCTCTGCTCCCCAGGGACCAGCTTCGGAAGCTTCCTTGTTGTCCAGAACTGCTTCACTGATTCACTGTACAGGCTGGCCTTCCCTGCAGCAGTCAGCATTTAAAAATTTGTCTTCAGCCCTGCTTGTCAGCAGTCAGCTTCAGTTGGAAAAAGTAATTTCATTTTCATATTTGCTCATTTCATTCATTCACTCAATCAACAGACCATCAATCTCCTATCATATGCCAAGAACTGTGTTTGGTTCTGGAGATGAAAAAATAAGATAATGGTTCCTTCTAGCACTTGAAGAGCTTACAAACTAGTGATAGAGGAAGATGTACCAATAACTCAATAAAAATAATGCTTTGACTGTATTTGTATTATTGGAATTTTATAATTCCATTCATATACACGAAGTGCTCACATAACCATGCGGGTATGTTCTGCAACTTTTAAGTGAAATGATGTAAAACAAAAACAATTTTACCATATAGATTAATTAATAAGATAAGAGTTAAGTTCCTGTGGACATTATAACGCAACAAAATGATGTTGAATTTGAGGACCTGCGGTACATTAAAAATTGAAATACACCTTTAAGGAAGGTCTAGGGATATGAGAAATCCACATGAATGTGTAAGTTATTTGGAGAGTTAACACTGAAGATTTGCATTCTGAAAACAGCTTTGAACCTTAGATGCAGATGAACTTTGCTTTAGTTGCTTATAAAATTTATGCAGAGGTATCTTCTAACAGGGGTCAGTAACTTGGCGAGGGGAGTACTGCAAATTAAGATCCTACCTTGGTGGCAGGTCAATTTTTTCTGTTCTTCAGGTTATAGTCTGAAATAGGAGCTACAGGATGGGATGACTAAAACAATTTACTGCCTTTGGGTACCCATAACCCTATATTGGCATATGCATGGCTTTCTAAGTTGTTCCATCATCATTTTCACCACCAGAGTTCAGTGCAACTTTTCAGTTAGCCAGGGCCCCTAGGAATGGTGCTGAAAAGTACTGTGGCTTAAAAAATAATACTTATAGTTTACTATGAACTTATTGCTTAAAATGTATCCTATTTAATATTCACAATCACTATGAAATTCATAAGTTTCAGGTGTATTAAAAATAAGTCTCTGTGTCAGATTTGCGATATTCTTTTTTTTTCCAGATGAAATCTTTATTGTTCAGATTATTACAGTTGTTCCTCTTTTTTCCCCCCATAGCTCTCCTCCACCCAGTTCCCACCCCACCCTCCGCCCCTTCCTGTACCCCCACACCCCTTTCCCCCCAAGAATTGTTAGTCCACTCCCTTTCTATGCCCCTGGTTCTATTATATTCACCAGTTTACTCTGCTCATCAGATTTTTTATTCACTTGATTTTGAGATCCACTTATTGATAGATATGTATTTGCTGTTCATAATTTTTATCTTTACCTTTTTCTTCTTCCTCTTCTTAAAGAATACCTGTCAGCATTTCATATAATACTGGTTTGGTGGTGATGAACTCCTTTAGCTTTTTCTTATCTATGAAGCTCTTTATCTGACCTTCAATTCTGAATGATAACTTTGCTGGATAAAGTAATCTTGATTGTAGGTTCTTGGCATTCATCACTTTGAATATTTCTTGCCACTCCCTTCTGGCCTGCATAGTTTCTGTTGAGAAATCAGCTGACAATCGTATGGGTATTCCCTTGTAGGTGACTGACTGTTTTTCTCTTGCTGCTTTTAAGATTCCCTCTTTGTCTTTTGCCCTTGGCATTTTAATTATGATGTATCTTGGTGGGTCCTTGTTGGATTCCTTTTGTTTGGGGTTCTCTGTGCATCTTGGACTTGTTAATCTATTTTTTTCACCAGGAAGGGAAATTTTCTGTCATTATGTCTTCAAATAGGTTTTCAATATCTTGCCCTCTCTCTTCTTCTGGCACTTCTATAATTCGGATGTTGGTACGCTTGAAGCTGTCCCAGAGGCTCCTTACACTATCTTCGTATTTTTGGATTCTTTTTGCTTTTCTGGTTGGGTGTGTTTTGCTTCTTCGTATTTCAAATCTTTGACTTGATTCTGGGGATCTTCTTGTCTGCTGTTGGATCCCTGTATATTATTCTTTATTTCAGTCAGTGTATGCTTAATTTCTAGTTGGTCTTTTTTCATATCCTCTTACTAAATTTATAGGCGGTTTCTAGAAAATTCTTGAAAAACCTTATAACCGTGGTTTTGAACTCTATATCCAGTCATTGGCTTTCCTTCATTTCTGTCATTTGTGACCTGTTTCTTTGTCTCCGCATTTTTTATGCTTCCCTGTGTTGGTAGAGTGGCTTTGTGTGCTAGGTGTCCTATAGGGCCCAGTGGCTCAGCCTCCCCAATTACCTGAGGTGGACACTCTTGGTGCACCCCCTTGTGGGCTTTGTGCACAGTCTTGTTGTAATTAAGCCTTGATTGTTGTAGGTATCACTGGGAGGAACTGACCTCCAGACCAATTAGCTGTGAGAATCAGCTGTGTCTACGGTGGGAGAACTTCTGTGCTGAAGACACCTTCTGGGGCAAGACTTGCTTCAGTGGGGCTTTGGTGCTCACTGAGTCTGCCCCCTGAGTGTGTTCCTTATGGATCTGAGGAGTTGTAATCTGGATGGTCCCACTCTGACCACTGGGTACACTGGCTCTT